CTCTCTCTCTCTCTCTCTCTTTTCCTTTTTTTTTTTTCTTTTTGTTAAGTGGAGAAACTTTGGTTAAATGATTTATTGTACCTTCAGGATTATTAAGATTTTTTGTCACCCCACGTTCAATTGAATTTGCATCATTAAATTCTAATTACCAATTGTTGCTCAACTAAATGATCAGAAAATATGGGTGTCATCAGCAGGGACGATATAGGCTGGAGGAAGAGCAGTAAATTACCAACCATCTATTCACCAGCAAAGGCTTGTTTTGAATGTTGTTCTAGCAAATTTAAATAATAATAATAATAATAATAATAATTTAACAAGTATAGTTCCAAGAACGTAATTTCTGTGGCTTGGAAAATCATGTGTTTAGACTTTCGAAGGATATAAAAAATGCAATTTAGATGAGGCAAAAAGCATAAAATTCAAACAATGTCAAGCAGAATGCTTGAGGAAGTCAAGAAGAGTGGCAGCAAAATAAAAAGTTTGGCATACCTGAAGTAGCTGGAAGCATAACCACTTCAGTAGGATTGTGAGATACAGGGGCGGTGAATGTGTAACCTGCATACCTCTGCTCCAAAACTTGGTCCATTTCAGGCTCAAGGTCTTGCGAATCAAAAGAGGCACCTGATGACCTGGTCAAGCAACTTGAATTTTCTGAACTTGATGAAGGTGATGCAGGGTTATCAAGATCCTGCAATTCCAGGTAGTCCTCCATCAGAATATAATCAGCTTCAGGCGGGTTTTCCATAGGATGATTAGTAAGTCTCTCCATGACATACGAATGAGAATGGATTAGGGATGAGAGAGAGTTCTTTTTAATTATGCAATCCAAAAAAAAAAAAAAAGTGCAAGCTCTATGTCCTGGAGCTTTAGTCCTGGCCAACTAGGTGAGACAGAAAATATTTAGTAGTAGACTTTATAGTAGAAAATAAATGTGTACACACTATATATTACATAAAATCTCATGCTGTTTGGAATATGAAAATGTTTGGTCGGGAGTTTCTAGAGAAACTGTTACCTCTAGAAATTATTATTGGGTTTTTAGTTGATTATAAAGTAGTCAATTCCTCATAAACTGCACTTTAATTGATTAAACACTAAACTAAACATTTAGTAGCAATTTCTGGTGACAATAGTTTCTATGGTTGACAACTTTTAGAAATTGTAATCTCTCAAAACTAATAATCAAACATGTTAAGTGAAAAAATCACACATTAAAAAAATAAAAATAAAAAAAAAAACATGTGAGCTATAAGAAATGTTATTTCACATATTATCAAGTAGTGGATGCAATCTTTATATTTTAGTCCACATATCTAATTTTCACTGTTAAAATATCTAAACTATAGTAAGATGATGTGAATGATAAAAAGATATGAATCTTAATTCGTTGGATACTAGGAAATCTACTAGCCCCAATTGTTCTCATCGCTTGTTGTGTCAACCACCTTTGTGCCCTACACTAAAACACACAGAATCTTCAGAGTCAGAATTGCAGCCATAGATTAATTAACCTGCAAATACAGCCCTACCCATAACTACCCAAAAAAACTTCCCAAAACTCAGGTGTCTATTTAGTGGGAATCCACCAGGAATGCACCCCCACCATTTTCCCTATTGATGCTTTGCAAATTGCAATTATACCCAAAATCCGTATTTTTGTTTTTGGCTGCGATAACAAATGACTCTGCGTAAGCCCACTGATGTTCTCTCTTCCATCGAATTGGAATTGAAGCTGACATAATTACTAATTATTGGTGCCATTTTGGTGACAAAAATAAACGTTCATCCTACGAGAGTTCCACTTAGCCATAATAACTGGGGGAAAGTAGATTAAAAGGAAAATTATTCTTCTGCCAGGTATGATTGCACCAATCCCTTGTACCTTTAGGTAAATTTCTTCCTCATGACATCACATATGGTTTCCATATCCAATAATTTCTTTAACTATGCTTTAATTCATAATGCAAGCCTAATTCATTGCCCATATGGTTAGACTCCTACCTAACACGCTCATGGCGTGTGGGAGGAATTAAAAAAGAAAAAAAAAAAGGAGAACTATTCAATATTATAATAGTGCATAATTTCATTTTTAATCCTTGAAGTTAAAATCAACTTCTATAAAAACTCAATTTAGTCTCGTTTTAGATTTTCCAGTAAAAATCCTTCGGAGAGGTCCTATGTCAACTGGGCACCAGGATTTTTTTTTTTTTTGGTTAAAACTGTAATTTGGCCTCTTTACTTGGGTAAAAAAACCCTTTTTTGGGTTTTTTTTTTTTTACTTTAAAAAACTTCTTTTTTGGTCCATAAAATTTGAAATTAAGTCTTTCTTTAGTCTCTCAATTAAATTTTGACATTAGATGATAAGAATTTTAAAAAAAAAAAACCAAAAAAGAGTTTTTTTAAAAGTAAAAAGACTAAATTGAAGCTATTTTTGACTTTTTTTAGTATCTTTTTTTTTATTTTAAAATTTTTATCATTTAATGTATCACATATGTAAAGTTTAATAAAAAAATTAAAAAATAATCAAATTTCAAATTGCAAGAACTAAAAATGAGTTTTTTTAAGTAGAATAATTAAAAAAAAAAAATTTATCGAAGTAGTGAGATTAAAATGGAGATTTAAGACCCCCCACCCCCCTTTTGTTTTTATCAGCCTGGACACTAGATATTTGGTAGGCAAATTAATTTAGTAATCATATTGTCTGACCTAAGCTGAATTATCGCCTTTAGTGTACTAACACTACGGCCTTTCTTAAATCATGAAGAAAAAAAGCAGATAAAGGACAAACTCTTTAATCTAATTAATCCAAACATCGCTCAATTCACAAATCATGTAACGGTCAAGTCCAACTATCGTTGCGTTCCAAATCTGAAGCACTAGAGGAAAGAAAAGAAGAGAGGAATACGTAATCGTAAAAGTTGATTGGACAGTACTGAGCAATGCACGATCCCTAGTTAACATTAACAAAGACACAGTAGATGGGATTATTTACAACAGCGTTTGTTACTTCAACGCAAAATTAAGCTATTTAATGGACCAAAGTGGATACCAAGAGACTCCAAGAATCAGCTTCTGATTCAATAGGGAGAGGTCGGCGAGGTTACAATTATCTAATGCCTAAATTCAAATAGTATTTCGATTCTTCTAGCAAAAGGTCGGTACATGGCCTCATTAAAGTCAGCCATTTCAGCTGGCACAAACGAGGATAGGCTGCAATGAAAGGGACCCAAGTAAGTGAGGTCACGCAATATTCCTGCAGCATGTGTTTATCGATAAATGTGTGAAAGCAGCCAATCCCAGAATCAGAGATCCTTTTCTTTCAATTTGGAAGCTTAAATATGATGCTATGTATATTATATACCATTATTCGTATTTTTTAAACAGTACTTTTATCAATATTAGAGTATACAAATACTCTAATTCTTACATCTGCTAATTTCTGTTTTTATTATTACTATTAGATTTGGAGATTTTGTAAATTATTCAATTACGAGTGATTAAGAGATGCTTAGAGACTTTGATTATGTCCCAT